TGCGTTCTTCAGTTATGCGTTTTATATCCATATACCCATGGGTATGTATAAACGTATTTAGTACTGTTGCGTAATCGCGTTGTTTTGGTTACTATGTAAAAAAAATTATTATAGTTTTTGACGTTATTTTAAAAATAATCAGACTTTTCTCAAATATGTGTGAAAAGGCAAATAAAATTTGACCGCGTTAACTGTTAAACGTGAATTTGGCTTGGGGTAGACGCAGTTGTCTATTGGTTTGGCTCGCCTGATGATGTCCAGTAGTTGGGGCCCCACATAAGATTGCTGAAGAATCTTCAAACTGGTAAGTCTTCCCTAAGCACGTTTCTTTTTTTTCGATACATTTGTACTCAAAGTTTTTGAAACTTCTTATAGAAATGCAAATGGACAGATAAAATAAAATTACCCTAAATACAGTCCACTCATTACTAAACAAGTACGTTTATTTAAACGTATTAAGTACGTTTGTTTAAACGTATTAAGTACGTTTGTTTAAACGTATTAAGTACGTTTGTTTAAACGTATTAAGTATGTTTAAGTACCTTTGTTTAAACGTATTAAATACGTTTGTTTAAACGTATTAAGTACGTTTGTTTAAACGTATTCAGTACTTTATTTTTATCTATTACAGTAACTGTCTAGTTTAAAGAATGTTAATAAAATAATGTGTTTTTTAAAGCAACATTTGTGGATGAGTATAGTGTTCTGCCTAAAGCTTACTGTATGACCATTGACTAATATTAGAAAATTTATAAATTTCATTTAATGTTGTTTATATACATATATTTATACCTAAGTATATTGTTTATTTATTTATAAATGTTGCATCAGTTTATTAAATAATAAACGTTATAAATTATTTTTAAACAAGTTATCCCATTTTAGAGAAAAACGATGTGGATAAAAGTATATTTGTATTTGACAAAACCCGTTTTATTAACGTTATAAAAATATACTATTTAAAAAGTGAGAAAGTTAAATTATTCATTTAACATTCATTCATAATTCATTTTTTTAACGAACAAAATTCTTAGATTTTATACCTTCAGATTTTAAATAAGAAGTCATATTGTCTACATGTGTAAACTAAGCAAAAATTTTACAAAATAAATATATAAAAAGTAATTTTAAAAGTGTTCGATGGAGCGTGTTGAATATAACATAGTATAAATGTTAAAAGAAAGAGCTGCCTTCACAGTTCATAAAATAATTACTTCAAACGTTATTTTCTCATTAAAACTCTTAATATTTGTAAAAAATTGTGGGTTGAAACGTAATTTAAACATTTAAATGTATGGTTGACTGAACACATTAAAAAGCACATTTAAATTAACGTTGTTTTAACGTTTAAATTAAACATTTAAATATATGGTTGACTGAATACCTTATTACAACGTTATTGTAACGTAAAAGTTAGTCACTATTAAAAGCATATTTAAATTATCGTTGTTTTAACGTTTAAATTAAAAATTTAAATATATGGTTGACTGAACACCTCAATACAACGTTATTGTAACGTAAAAGTTAGCCACTATTAAAAAACATATTTAAATTAACGTTGTTTTAACGTTTAAATTAAACATTTAAATATATGGTTGATTAAACACCTTAATACAACGTTATTGTAACGTAAAAATTCGGCACTATTAAAAAGCATATTTAAATTAACGTTGTTTTAACGTTTAAATTAATTGGTGTAAATTTATACCAATATCAAACCGTTGCTTTTTCCACGTAAAACGTTTTATTGACCTTTCAAACGTTTTAAATACGTTTAAAAAACGTGTATGTGTTTACTGGGCCGCGGCCACGGCCGGCCGTGGCGTTTAACGTGTTAATTAATGAAAGCATACCTTCAAATTAATGTATCACAAACTGGACCGCCCTGTATAATCTTTTTTAAAAATTTTATTTAAATTATGTATCTTAAAAAAAAATTATCGCTCATTCCAATATGTCCACTCAAAAAAAAGTTATAAAATTAAAAGTTAAAATGTCTAATTTCAACCTTGAATAACTATTAAAGGAGTGAATTTACGAAAAAATTATAAGAGATATTTTTTGTAGAACGTTCAATTTTCTTCAAAAATATATAGAGTTTATTCCAATATGTTCACTCAAAAACGAGTTATAAAATTTCAAAGTTAAGAAAAAAGAATTCCTGTTATTTAAACGTAAAATAGAAATTCACGATGAGCGATCTCTAAATATTTATATTAAGAGCTACAATTTTCACAGGCTTCTTTTTTCACTACTAGGAAGATATTTTAATGCGGGCTTTGAAGAAAAAAAATATTCGATTTTTTGAACCAGTCTAATATATATATACTTACATTTCATGTTGTGTAATATTTTTCTAAGAGGAGTTTTACATACATTTCAGCAATTTAGTTTAGCTTAGTCCGTTGGTAATGTGATAATTATATATAATATCGCGAATTTCGTTTGCTTCTTATAGCGGAATATCAGTGACTGATAAAGTTCTTGCCAGGACTCCTGAAAATTGCTTTGGAACTTATTGGTTGAGTATCAGCGGTTGTTCCTTTAACAATTGTTCGCACTGATACACCGGTAGCATAACTAATTTGATTTCACAGCACTCAGATTCTCTTCCTCAGTTTTATTATTTTTAAAATAATTAAAAACATGAGAAATTAACTTTGTTACCTTCACTTTTTTAATTTAATATATTTTTTAAACTTGTTTATCAATAATTTCTGTAAACTTTCTATACAATAAATTGAACAAATAGCCAAAAAAGTAAATATTGAATACGCGCCACTGCTTTGCCAAACACGTGTTAAACTAAACTTGAAGGGCGGTATCATTACGAAATTACATCAACTGAGCATAGGGCGTTCTCGTCAAGTTATAACGCGCGGACTCTACAGTCGAGTGCAATAGCTCAGTAGCAAGGCCATTAAAAAATTGCTTGCGATGCTCAGTCATAGCTCCGCCTACCCTAGAATCTTAAACAATGTAAAACGGTGGTACATCACGCAACGGCTGCAAGCAAATATAAACCTAACAGTGGTACTTATCCAATGCACGTGACTGCACATCCTTTTCACTGAAATTGTTGTATTTTAATTGTAGTTCACAACTACCTATAACTCTTGCTTTTTACATTTAGGTAGGTACCTGGCTTGACACCGCGACATCAAGACTATGCGACCCCTCTGGGTTTCAAAATACAGTAAGTAAATATAAAAATTCTACTAATAAATATAATTGACCAGTCAAAAATAATAAAATTAACTTTACAAAATAAATATTGAAAGTACAACTTTAAAGATATTTAGACTTTTGGACTTTCGATTGTCCAATGAAAACTGAAAACGATTAAAGATTAGAACTAATTGAAACGTCGTAAACAAACAATTACATAAAGACAATGGAAGTCCAAAACTCACCCATTAATCATTCAAAAACATTGTCTACAAACTTCAAAAAAAATATTTAAACTACCTAGATATTTGCCGGCGCGTCGCGACGTTGTTTGAATTTGAAATCGTTTAATTTTTCTTTGAATTAATATTTTATTGATAATATGTACAACTTAATGAAACATTCAATTCAAATATTACTCGGATAATAAAAAAAATATGTAATTTTGAGATTTGCAACTCAAAATTTGATCATCAGGTATGGTCGCGTCCAAATCTGCATGGGTGCACATCATCAATGCAGTTTAATGACGTTATTAGTATTACCAACTTTAAAGTTACTGCTGTTAAAATTGCTTTTATGAATCATATGCGTATTGTTAACAAAAAACTAACAATTTCCTTACTTTTTTTACGTAATTATGAAAACAAATTGTTGATGACGTGCAACCATGCAGATTTGGCCGAGAATTTGGCTACTAATTATATTTTGGTACAACTTAAAGTTGACCCCTATTATTTTCCTTAAAGTCAGAATATTTTTTTCGTATACAGTGACCGGCAAAAGTATGGAACAAATTCATTTAAAAATTGCATGTAATTTAAAAAAAATCCTTGAACCTGTCGATTTTTCAATTACGCACATTTTGATATAACATTATAACATATTTGGCGCCATTTTTATAGAAGCTTTGACGTCATCGGCCATTTTTTTGAATTGCACATACAACTTTTTTGTGCAGATTCGAATAGAGTAGAAAATTCTGGTTTCAGCAATATGCACATGTATGTACAATGTACATCCTGTGGGCTGATAGTTTCGGAGATATTAATTTTTATAAGTGAAAAATATATAGTTTTTTAGTGATTTTTTGACAAAATAAAAAAGTTGTTATAGCTGAAATGTTCATAAAATCTATTTAAGGTTGTCCTGGAGTAAGTGTCGAATATCAGAATTTGATAAAAATTTACAAATAAATTCTTTATGATGCTTCACATCATGAAGTTTAATTTAATAAAAAAATTTGTCGTTGGAAGCATATTTCAAAGTTGAGTAAAAATACACGGGTTCTTATGGCAGCACGTGGATTGTTTCTCCTCCGAAATAATTATTGGTAATGATAGGATTGTAATGAAAAACATGATACGCGAAGTTTCATAATGATCATGTCGCGACATGTCACACAGTGGGCTAGAAAGCCAATTTACCGCGCAGAAATTATTTGATTAAGTAATTCTTAGGTAATGTTAATTTTTTTGGTCTTATTGATGAAATTTTAATAAAAATTACTTTTTACTACCAATAGAAAAGCAAATCCACAATATAATACTTTAACAACAAAAGTATTAGGGTGGTCCAAAAAAACAAACATCATAATTGTTTTGATCTCACCCTATCGTTGGGTGACAATGTGTATAAAAATACTTTGTGCAAAATTTCAATAAAATTCATTATCATTTAGAGGTCGCGCAAGAGCATTCACTTTGGAAGTATTATAGATGAGGCGTTTTGTATTTGTACTTAATGCTTCTAGCGTGGGCAGTCAGTAATTAATGGCTATTTTAGTAGGTGTTGTGTTTTGACAGTGACAGTGACAGTAAAATTGTTAAAAAATGTTAAAAGCAACTAGAAGTAACACAAAAATATACTTAATTGGGTCCAAGAAAAGTGAAATTTTAGGTAGTAAGCTCCCGTGTAATAGACAAGTGTTAAGTACGTTCTTTTATTATCACAGAACACTAAGAAAGACTATTCGTGATAGTTCCCGTGCGGTTATAAAAGAAGTTAAGACATTTTGGTCAAAAGCCCGTATACCAATAAGAGAAGAGCAACACGCAATAGCGAAGCTAGAAAAACTTCACGGAAGTTGGAATCTATTAAAAAAGAGCTCTAAAAGAAAAAGTGCAACTCAACGTTTAAAAGAACAAAATTTTATTGATACTTTAGAAGATTTATTTGATATAGCCCATGCGGATGCACTCACCCTAATTAAAATTGAAGAAGACCGAAACTTCTTAATAGCGCAGCGAGAAAAAAAGCGGCGTGGCTGCATTATGGGAAGAGACAAAGTTTTACATCTAAAAGAATGTAAAGCTGAAAAGAGGAAGAAGGAATACCAGCTTAGATGTGAACGTGAAGAGCAACGAAAATACACTAATAGTAGTAGTGAGTTTGTCAGTGACGTGTTAAGAACAAGCACAGACCTCGGGTCAGACAGTAGTTATAATAGCGATAATAATTTCTCGATTTCGAGTAACTACAATAAACAGATGCCTGAAAAGGAAAAGGTGCAAAAGAGAAAGAAAGTTCGTGGCACTGGAAGCACATCTCTAATCACACCCCATCTCGCTGCTACGCTTGACAGAGCTAATATAAGTGACCGAAAAGCGACTTTTATAGTCACTGCTACGCTTCAAAGTCTGGGTCAGAACGTTGCCAATATCCCACTGAGTCGCTCATCTCTGCGAAGAGCGAGGCAAAATGCTCGTGCCAAGCTCTCTACAAATATAAAAAATAATTTACAAGCTCAAGGGCCTTTCATAGTGCATTGGGACGGAAAACTTCTGCAGTACGTGTCTGGAAAAGAAATGGTGGAGCGCCTTCCTGTTATTTTATCTGGACCACACATTAAAGATCAGCTATTGGGTGTTCCCAAGCTAATATCAGGAACTGGACAATAGGCTGGGCCGAAAAAATTATTTTTAGAAATCTCACTTGGCATAGTAAAAAAAAGTTGTAACATGGGTAGACAACCTAGCTGATTTTTTTTCAAAATTTAAAAACATGTTTTAGCCTCGCCCCCGGGGGGCTAAAAATTTTTTTTTTCAAATTTAAATTTTGGATTTGGCATAGCATAAAACTGATAGATATAAGCTTACTTATGACACACACAAAAATTGGTTAATATATTTTAATTTCTAGCCGCGCCCCATGACGTTTAACTGGGGATGAAAAATAATTTTTTAATACCACAGTTTGGCATACCAAAAAATTGGTAGGGTCAACTCAATTACGACATAAAAACAAAATGATTAAAACATTTTAATATTTAACCTTGCCACTGGGACCTTAAAACAGGTATATTTTAAAATATTATATTTTTGTCTTGTCATAAGAAATTAGATCATTTCCTACTCACTTATAGCCGAAAAAGAAATGAATAAAAATCTTAATATTTACTAAACATCGTATAACCGAGCCCGCTATTGTAAACAAAAGAGGTTACCTAAATAAATACCACCCTTTTATTACTGCCATGTGGCAATTGCGTGGCGCCTTCCACTGAAACAAGTGATATAAATGAATGATACAGTGTAACTTTAACGCGTTGTGAAATAAGTGTACTTTGGGCACAGATAATTACTTTCCTTTAATTATAGTTTAGTTAAGTTATAGTTATATAATAAGTACAATTTAGCTATATAATAGGTGTAATTTAGTTATATAATAAGTGCAATAAGACTAAGTGGTGTTTTGTTTTTTGGTTTATCTATTTTAAAAACAATATGGATAAAGTTAAAACTAGGAAAGCAGACACTTTTCCAATATTTGGTACTGCCTGCGACATAGCTTCTGAAAGCTGCTTACCAACTTATGAAGATATGTTCCGTTGTTATTTATTTACAAGACAGCAGATTAAGGGAAATTCTAGCAAGCAACCGCCCGAATGGGAAGTTGCAAAAACGGTTGCCAATAAAATAGATAATATATGGAAACGTGCTTCACTACCAACTGTTGGCTCCAAACGCGTAATTGCAATGATATTAGCATATCATAAAAAATATCGTAATTTAATAAAACCCCTAAAAGCCCGTAAATCATCATTTATTCTTAGAAAGGTTGAAAATTTTAAATTGGAATCAAAAAAACTTTTTGACATTTCTTCCTGCAAATGTCGTGATTTCGATTCTTGCAAGTGCGAAAAAATTTGCAAAGTGCCGTTGTTAGAACAAGATTTTTTAACAGATCAAAGGAATCTAAGAAAAATGCAAATAGGAGGTGTGGATAAAAAAACTAGTGAAAAAAATAGAAAAAGGGAAGAAAGGCTCGGTCCTTCTCAAATGTCCATCCCTTCAACTAGTAGTCAGAAGTCTGATTCGAGCCCAACTATTAAAAATGTTACAGATAGTTCATCCAACGACGAAGACTTTGCTAAAGATCAAGACTTTAAGTGGTCCTATCCTTTACAAAACGAACAGAAAAAACAAAAACCAGAAGAAAAATCCAGTCAAATGAGAGTTCCATTGACAAATATCGCCAAAATTGCTGATATGACTGGTGTATCAAACCGAACAGTAGCCAAAATTGTAACAGCTACCTTGGAAGATTTTGGACTCGTTTCATCAGATAACCCACTTAACGTAGTGGACAAGAATAAGATCCGTCGAGAATTAAAAAGAAAACGAAAGCACGTACAAAAAAAAGCTACTGAGGAAAGAAAAGATATTGAAGCTATATATTTTGATGGCAGAAAAGATCAAACATTAATGCAAATTGATGGTCGCCGTATTGTTAAACAAGAGGAACATATAGCCTTAATAGAGGAGCCAGGAAACAAATATTTTGGTCACTTATCAATAAATCCACCTGCTAATGCTGAAAAAATTGCTAACAATATCCTATCTTTTATAAAAGAAAATTCCGTCAACCCAAAGAAGCTCAAAGCAATTGGCTGTGATGGCACTAACGTAAATACTGGCTGGAAAGGCGGTGTAATAAGATTAATCGAAGTTCAAATTGGAAAACCACTTCAATGGCTAATTTGTATGCTACATGGTAACGAATTACCCCTACGTCACCTTATTCAACGCTTAGATGGACAAACAAAAGGACCAAATTTGTTTTCTGGGCCCATTGGTTTATTGCTCGCATCATGCGATACCAAACCTGTACAAAAGTTTCAGTCTATTTATACTCTATTACCTGAAGTTGATGACAAGGATTTAAGTACTGATCAGCGATATTTATATCAGATCTGTTGTGCTATTCGAGATGGTTGCTGTTCTGAAGCTTTATCTAAAAGAGATCCTGGAAAAATGAGCCATGCGCGATGGTTGACTACAGCTAATCGAATACTGCGCTTGTATGTGGCCACTTGCAGTCCTTCTGAGAACTTACTTCTTTTAGTGCAGTTTATTATGAAAGTGTACGCACCTATGTGGTTCAATATAAAAACGCAATCTTCAATTAAATATGGTTCGGTACATTTTTGGAAAACCATTAGTGAGTCAAGGGGCCTTCCTAAAGGAGTCAAAACAATTATTGATAAAGTAATTTCAACTAACGCGTATTTCGCCCATCCCGAGAATATTCTGATAGCTATGATTGCTGACGAGAGAAGTCATATTAGGGAACTTGGTATACGACGCATATTAAAGACTAGAAAACAACCAGCAGCAAAAAAATTACGAATATTTAAAATACCACCTTTAAATTGGAATGCCAAAGACTATACCGAAATGATAGATTGGAGTGAATGTTGTATTACAGAGCCCCCACTAACAATTGATATCAAAAGCGAAGATTTGTTAGCAGCAATTGAAAATAAATCTTTTATTAATTTTAGCAAATTACCAAGTCACACTCAAGCTGTGGAGCGATGCGTAAAGATTATAACCGAAGCATCCAGTAAAGTTTGTGGTCACTCTTCAAGAGACGGTTTTATAAGGGTTAAAATAGAGGCAAGAAAAAATTTACCCATGTTCGATAATAAAAAACAATACTACAATGTTGAAAAGTAAAAACAAGTATATTATTATACTAAGGGATGGAAGGGAGGGTGCAACTCGACATGCAGCCACCTCCCCGTGGTGAGTTGTGGGTTGACTAAATGATGATTGATATAAAATAAAATAATTTTGGTGCGCGATTTAATCATATATGATATATCATCATTTTTTCAAGCAAAGAGCTGCATATTGGAACTTAAAATGCCAAGGGGCGCGGCTAAAAATTAAAATATATTAACCAGATTTTTTTTGTGTCGCAAGTGAGCCGATACCTATCAGTTTTTTGCTATGCCAAATCCAAAATTTAAATTTGAAAAAAAAAAATTTTTAGCCCCCCGGGGGCGAGGCTAAAACATTTTTTTAAATTTTGAAAAAAAATCAACTAAACTGTCTACCCCCCTTACAACTTTTTTTTACTATGCCAAGTAAGATTTCAAAAAATAATTTTTTTTTGCCTTTTTCGGCCCAGCCTACTGGACAAGCTCAGGCGAACGCAGTTGCAGAACTCCTGGATAAATGGGGTGTTTCTGACCATATTCGGGGAATGTGTTTTGATACGACAGCAAGCAATACTGGTACAAAATCTGGAGCCTGTCTCATGCTTGAGAAAAAGTTGGGAAGAACTCTTTTGCATTTCGCCTGCAGACACCATATGTTAGAAATTGTATTAGCTGCCGTATTTACAAAATGCACTGAATCTTCTTGTGGACCAGATGTACCTTTATTTAAACGGTTTCAGAAATGTTGGTCAAAAATTGATCATACGAAATATGAGCCTGGTGTACAAAATAATGAAATGTGTGCAGCCATCCAGGATGAAATTCAGGGTGTATTGGAGTTTGCAGAGAAACAACTTGAGGTAAGTTACCTAATGTTTTAATGACTATTTTATTATCTTAATTGCATTAATAAATTAAGTAAGTCAACACCTTTATTTTATTCTGCAGGTAATTCAGCCGCGTGAGGATTACAGAGAAATTCTTGAGCTTCTTATAATTTTTCTTGGAGGAACCCCTCCCCGTGGTGTACGATTTCGTTCTCCAGGAGCTCTGCATCACGCTAGATGGATGGCTAAGATCCTATACAGCCTTAAGTTATGGATGTTTCGAGGACAGTTTAAGCTAACTCTACAGGAAGAAAAAGCCCTTAAAGACATTTGCATTTTTATTATCCGAATATATTTAAAAAATTGGTTTGGTGCTCCTTTACCTATACAAGCACCAAGAAACGACCTTAAACTTTTAAAGCAACTTAAAGAGTATGAAGAAAAAAATTTAACTGTGTCTCAGATTGCACTTGAAAAATGGAAACGACATCTTTGGTATCTTAGCGATCACCTTGTAGCACTTGCTTTTTTTGATATGGGTATTTCACCTGAAGAAAAAGAGAGAATGGTTATTGCTCTACACGAGAATCAGGGAGAGGCCGAACCCTCAAAGAGAGCAAACATAATAAATCTTCAAAAACCCATAAATGGTATGACAATAGCGAACTTCGTGACAACGAACACTGTTTTTTTCTTTAGAAATTTAGGAATTGATATGGAATTCCTTCAAATGAAACCTGAAAAATGGGCAATGCAAAAAAGTTATCAGGATGGCCTTGAAATAGTAAAAAATCTCCGTGTGGTAAATGACAATGCGGAGAGGGGTGTAGCCCTCATTGAAGCCTATTCTTCCACAATTACAAAGAATGAAGAACAAAAGCAATGTCTTCTTCAAGTTGTGCAGGAACATCGACAAAGATACCCTGATTGTAATAAAAAAACCATTGTAAAACCTTTTGATTTCTAATACATAACGCTTGTATGTTTTATTTGAGAACATTTAAATTCGTTTTGCATTCAAATCTAAACCCTAGATTGGAATGCAAGCTATATATATAACATCATAAATTTTTTGCTATTTACACTACTCTACGTTAAATTTTATTACTTCTGCGCGACCTCTTAATATAATTCGATATTGCTCAAATTTTGGTAAACTCATTTTTTTTATATTGTCACCAAATGGAGGGATGAGATCAAATAAAATTAAAAATTTAATTTTTGCACTATAGTCCTTTGAACCACCCTAAAAAGTATATTTGTGTGATGGTAAAATTAAGATCTATAGTTTTAATAAGTAAATTACAAAAATATAACTGAATTATTTTTACGTTACGTATTTTATACAATAATATTACTTCTGGGCTTTCAGCGTTTTTGTATATTTTTTGAAAAAAATTAAATTTTTGAATTAAGTTTTTTCCGAGAAGCATTTATTTTTGTAAATGCAGTTTACTCTAAGTAATTTAAAACCAATTTTCTATTAAAATGATTTAAACAAAAAATATTTGTGGCACTTACTAGCTCTTGATTTTAGATTTATTTAAAAGACAGAACAGTACGCACACACATAGTGTGAGAATGCGTGAAATTTTTTAAAACCTTGTTCATAGATACATCAATGCAGCGCTTTCTTTATTGACGTAGGGACAGTACAATAATTATAAAAACTTACCATTATTTGTTCCAGCAATAACGAATGACAGTATTGAATACAATGATGGTCAAAAATTAAAAATAAATTAGGAATTAACATTGTAAGAGAAGCAAAGCCTTCACGCGCAATACAAAGCAAGTAATTATAATTCTTAAACTTTGACTGGTTACCTAATAAAAATTTAATAGATTTGAAGGTTATTTAAAGATGTTTCATTATCTTCAGATATTAAAGAATTCAAAATTCGCTAAATTTGGTCGAAATAAAACACTTACTTATTTTGAATTTCTTCGCACTGGAAGCGCGCTCTAGCCTACTGTGCGACGTGGCTAATAAAATTTATTTCGGCTGAATTCGAGCTGCGATACGCTACGTTAGATATGAAAATGAGGCCGGGCCGTAGTTGTCGTACCTGACCAGCTGCCACTGCCTACTATCTTATATTTTTTAATATCATTTTTTATTTTTTTTTAATTCAACAGATTTGAAGGTTATATAACATTATTTGATTTGCTACAGATATTAAAAAATTCAAAATTCACTAAATTTTATCGAAATTAAACACTTACTCATTTTAAATTTTCGCGCGCTGGAAGCGCTCTCTAGAATACAGCGGTGGTGGCAAAAATTATTAATTTTCACTAATAGTTATCAGTAATTAATTCAAAATTATTTATTGGTATTAGTAGCTTTTTAATTGATGGTTTTCATCATGATGATGGTGCACCAACGGATGACAATATTTAATACAATGATATTTCTTCTGGGCTTCCAGCGTTTTTCTATATTAAAAAAAAATGAATTAAGTTTTTTCCAAAATACATATATTTTTATAAACGCGTAGTCTACTAAAGTAATTTAAAAATAATTTTATATTAAAATGCTTCAAACTAAAATACTTTTCATAAAGCTCTGTATGAGTGGGATAATGTATTAACTGAAAAAAATAAACAAACCATATTTGTTGCGCCTACTAGCACTTGATTTATTTATTTGAAAGACAGAACGTTAAGCTATTAAAAAAACCTAAACACAGAGTGTGACAGTGCTTGACATTTTTTTAAACCTTAATAATGTCCATACATACATTAAAAGTATGCAGCGGTTACTTTATTAAGGTAGTGACAGTACAATAATAATAAAAACTTACCATTATTCGTTCCAGCCATAACGTATGACTATGAATAAATTAATAATAAACATTGTAAGAGAAGCAATACCTTTACGCGCAATTTATCAACACGAAGCAAGTAATTATAATTCCTAAACTTTGACTGGTTATACAAATTCAACAGATTGAAGGTGATTTAAAGATGTTTCATTATCTACAGATATTAAAGTATTCAAAATTCCCTAAATTTGGTCGAAATAAAACACTTATTTTGAATTCCTTCGCGCTGGAAGCGGAAAAAAGTTCTATTGGATTAAATCGGTGAATTCACGAAATTTGACTTGAACTTGAGATTCGTGGCAACGTCGCTGACGTCAGATAGGAACACTTTCGCTCGGTGCTACATAGGTGTGAGTTAGAACGTGTGTAGCAAGCGTAAGGGTGAAAGAGACAGCGACTGTTATTGGCGAAATTTTTAAAAACGATGTTATATATTTTTATTCATAAACAATACACTAAACAAGTTGTATAGTGTATTGTTTATGAATAAAAATTGTATAATACAACGCCTCACGAACTGGCAATGCAATTACGTTGCAAAGTAATAATAAAATCGCCGAAAAATGGAATTTATACCCATATGAATTAGGGTAGGATAGGACACAGTTTTACCACGATCGAAACACTAAAACTCATGCCCGGACAACTTTAAAACTTTATTTAAGGTATAAACTTTTTTAGTCGTACTTGTTTTTTTATAATTTTTTTTGTTCTACAAACAGCAGGTGTCGATATATTTATTTTTTGGTGTGTGATTTTAAACAAAAATTGGCTACTACAGGTACAGTCGAGTGTTCAGCGGTTTTTAAATCTTTGGGCTGATAGTTTCGGAGATATTAATTTTTAAAAGTGAAAAATTTATAGTTTTTTTAGTGATTTTTTGACAAAATAAAAAAGTTGTTATCCCTGAAATGTTCATAAAATCTATTTAAAACTTTAATTAAGGTATAAACTTTTTCAGTCGTACTTGTTTTTTTATTATGTTTTTTGGTCTACAAACAACAGGTGTCGATATATTTCTTTGTTGGTGTGTGATTTTAAACAAAAATTGGCTATTACAGGTACAAAATTTTAGTCGAGTGTTCAGCGGTTTTTAAATCTTTCCAAGTATGACAAAAACACAGCGAGTTGAAGTTTTAATTCTCAATAAAACTAGAGCGCAACAAGAAGCTTGTGATTTGTTTAATGCAAAGTATCCAGCTCGACATATTACTCGTTAGACTGTTATTAAAATTGAACAGAAATTTAGAGAGACTGGACATGTCAAAAATATTTCAAATCCTGGCCGTCCGAAATTAGTGAAGACGCAAAAATTGACATTTTGTTACGTGTAAAAGAAAATCCTCACAGTGCTTCTAGCCTAAAAAGTCAAGTCAGTCAACGCTCTGTATTACGTCTGATAAAGAAAGAAAAGTACCATCCATACAAAATTAGACTCGTGCAGGAACTTAAGATGATCCGGATCGTAGACTACAATTTTGTGAAACTATGATGAATTCATGTCACAATAATCCACACTTTCCTTCTAAAATACTTTTTTCGGACAGTTAACTGTCAGAATTGTAGATACTGGAGCAGAGAAAATCCTCATTGGATGGTAGAGGCACATTTACAATTTCCTCAAAAAGTTAATATCTAATTCTTTTTTGACGAGAATCTAAAAGGACAAAGATATTTGGAATTTTTGAAGTCTCTCTTCTTCCTACATTAGCGGAAATGTTTCCCAACGAGGATGAAGATCCCAATCTTCCAAGTAATACTATTTGGTTTCAGCAGAAAGGGGCACCTCCGCACTATGCGCGTCCTGTCCGTACTCTTTTGGACACCTGTTTTTTTTAAAGGTGGATTGGAAGACGAGAGACCGATAGAGTGGCCTGCGAGATCTCGGGATCTCACCACTCTCGATTATTTCTTATGGGGCTACCTTGAATCAAAAGTTTACATCAACAGACCACAAAATTTAGAAGACTTGAGAAATCAAATTCGTAAAGAATGTCGCTGTGTCAGTGCTGAAGTAATTTAAAACGTTGTCATAGATTTTTCGGATAGGCTTGCTTAGTGCCAAGAAACCAACGGGTGGCAATTCGAGCATTTAATTGGTTAAAAGGTGTAATTTTTTAAAAATAAAAAAAATTAAATCACAAACTTTGAAATTTAATAATACCCAAAACTATCAGCCCAACAGGTATACATGTGCATTAGGGTGTCCGTTATTTACCAATTTGATTTTTGAGTTTGCAGTGCCCCTAAAATTTTTAGTGTATGACCCAAAAAAAAATATCGAACTCATATAAGCCCTTAATATTGATAATAAACCCTGCCACAAAGGCGATTCATTTCCCATTTAAATAACATGGGGTTTTTGTAATTTTTGCAATTAATTTTTTTGTTCCTCAGCCAGCTCATACAAAGCTGCGTCAATAAATTATTTTTGTAGTAAATTTAACGCTCTACAAAAAATTCTTAGTATTTTTTTCGATAAATTCACTTGTTTAAAAGTTATTCAAGCTACTAAAAATAACTTATTAATTTTCTTTGTATTTTGACCGAAAAACTATCATTATTTGTTTTACAATTTATTCTTTATTGCAAAAAATATCTCGTTTTGACTGTATAATAACTAAAATAAGTGCTAAATATCCTGATAACCAATTAATTACCAGACGATATAAGTTAAGCTTAAAATATTACAATTTATTGGTAAAAATGTGACAGGTAAAATTTCATTAAACTCATTAATGAACAAAATTTATTTTATCAAACATTCTTTGGTGGCATTTGGAATTTTTTTTTATATTCACTTACAACTTGAATAACATACTGTTTTTGATCTTCGTCCTTAGCTAAAGTATTAACATATTCTTCAGTTAGTTTGACAGCTCGCTCTAAAGAATCATTGACAATTTTTAGATGTTTTACAATTTCCAAACCTTTCAAATAATCTGAGTGATTTGACCATGTACTATCATCAAATAGAAGAAAATTTGTATCAATATCAAATCTTTCGAAAAATTTGACAGAATTGGAATTAATGAAATAATCAACGTTTTTGTCAAGAAACCAATCAAAATCTTCTGAATTGAAAATAAAGCGTTTAGGAAGTTCAAGTTGATCCTCGTCGCTTGATGTCAAAGCCGCC